GCCCCCAACCGGGCGCGGAAGCGAGGGGTGAGCGGGAAGCCGCTCGCCTCTCGCTGTTTCCCCCTCCCTCAACCCGAAGTTTGCAGAGTGTTCCCCCCAATTTTTTTGCAGGGTTTCTGATTTTTGTGCAGACGTGGGGACCACCCCACGTGTGCCCAAAACTCTCCCTCCCCCCCAGGTCCCCCTGATGTGCGGATTTAAGTATCCGCACACCAGGGGGCGACTTCAGTATTAGTATATAGATTCCTTTCACAGAAAGGCTTTGTACCGGCCCATTAAGGGAGGTTGTGACTACAGAGCACATGTTTTTTAGATGCCTGTATTATAAGGTAGTGCATAATAAGATCATCACTCCGTTGATTGAAGAAATTCCAGGCCTTTCCAAAAAAGCTAGACTCGAGTTTCTTCTATCTGATAGAGCCAGTTTCTGTATGGTGATACTCAGAATACAGAACTTCTATGGAAGTTAGGTAGTTATGGCAGATAGATATTATTAGATTAAATTTTAATCTGCTTTTAACGTTTTACTGATGTATTTTAAAATCTTGGAATATTGCAAAGGTGTACTTCTTTTGTATGACTGGTCTAAGGACTGTAGAAATAAACTGGACTGGACTGACTCCCTCCTTGCTGCAAAGAGTTTTTATCATATCAGTTTCTCCTCCCATTGACCAGGTTTTGCACATTTCAACCCTCCAAATAAAAAGTGCATTTCTTCACAAACACTAATCTATGAGCAAAGTACGACATACTAAGACCTTTTTACACTACTTCAAAACAGGACCCCATGCTATGCACCAAAGCCTGTGCAATCTTGTCAAGCTGCTGTACCTCTTTGTACCAGTGCTTCAGCAGGCGGATGAGGCTCTTCAGTTTAGTTTTCTGCTCTCTGATGAAGAACCTCTGTAACTCAGTGAAGCAGGGGGAGAACTCGCCACCTCGGCTGCTGCTGTTGATCAGGTTAGTGTACACTTCTGGGGGAGGCATGTTGCCTGTTGTATGGCCTATCACCAAAAACAAGATAGGACCAAGAAGGCACAGAATGAAGCAGCTAAGAAATGACTCTTATGCATACTATTCCGTTTCATAACAGAACATTATTCATCTGGCCCCAAGCAGGGCTAGAATAAGACGCACCGTGGCCCTGAGCTACATGAAATTTAAGAGGTCCCATAAAAGTACCAAAAATGGTGAGTAGTAGTATTAGGGTGGGATGTTTCTGTATTTAGAAGCCCCTCATAATCTGAGGCCCTACTCCCTTGTTTACTTCCCTTGTACATAAATCCAGCTGTGCCTCCAAGCCAACGCTTATCTCAAATTCTGATAAAGGAGGTAGTTAATGACCTTCCCACCCTGCAGGCCTTTCAGGGAGTTATTAGGCTGTTCAACTATTGCAATTGATGCTGTAGCACCCTAATGTAAAAAGAAGAATAAAGGACAAATGAGAGAAATTAAGAGCAGTGCCATTAGCACTAAAACTCCTATTGGGGGAGTCTGATCACAAAAGCTGCTGCCACCCTCAGTTCCAGGCGGGAAGAAGACCCCATCCCTCATGCAAGCATACGCACCAAGAGCATCGAAGGCTGGCAGCACATCGAACTAAATGGAATCTTCACGATCATAAGAGTGGAGCTTGAAGCTGAGCACACGTGGGTTCTCCCACTTGGTTGGCTCAAAAATTACATCAATATTCTTTTGTGGTTTGTTCCTGAATTCTTCAAGCCTCTTCTGAATCTCCTGGATGATCTCCTCCCGGTTTAGTTCCTGGTCCTTGTATGTCTTGAAGGTGCTGAGAAACACCACAAGATCAGCATCCGAAACCCCTTTCAGAGCAGTGCCTTTCCCTGATGAGCCTCCCTGTGAAGGAGAATTGTCTACCATGAGTCTACATAGGATGAGCAGGCAAAAGGAGCCAGGAAGGTTTGACTCTCAAAGGCAGGGCTCCCCAGGGAGGTAAACGGTGTCCCTGGGTACACTCCTCTGTAAGTGACCTGGCTATCATTCCCTTCCACTGGGAACAACAAAGAGCTGTGGATGGTTTGGGATTGTGCTGCGATGGGGACAACTTTGTGTAATGAATCATTCCATACTCAGAGAACCTGGTGTGTTTGTATAAAGAGTTTCTGCACAAACGCACTGTACTTCCTCCTTCTTACACCCAAGCGCAGGGATCCTTTCAATAAGCAACCCTTTCCTGCACACTCACACCCTAAGCACAAAGGGCACATTCAGACCAATTGTTAAATAGTTGTAACTAAGTTCTCTGTGGGACCGAAGGTATTTGGGATGCCAACCTGAGGGGGGAGGGCTTTCCTCATGCCTGTAATATTTAATTAACTGCATTACGTCCCACCTTTCTCCCCAGTGTGGACCCGAAGGAGCTTCTATTGCTCTCCTCCAGTTTATCCTCACACCAACCCTGTGAGGTAGGCTAGGTAGGCTGAGAGTGTGTGATTGGCCCACAGAGAACCGGGAAGGCGGCGGGGGAGGGGGGGAGTCTACTTCACTCGATGCCCCTTCTCCGCTTCAAATCTCCACACACACCCCGCCTCGCTTTTGCTTCCTGCCTCCCAGTCCCAGGGGGCTCCAGGCACCATCAGCTCTTCGGGTTATGTAGGTCGCTAGAAGGCACTGACTCTCTCATGGATCACTGCCTTGACATGAAGAGGGGACTTGCGTGGTTGGTTGAGGCTGTGGGGTATGCCGTGGAGGGCCACCCAGGAGGCCGCCCACAGCAGAGAACTCAAACAAAATGTGATCCACTGGAGAAGGAAATGGCACCCTACTCCAGTATCTTTGCCAAGAAATCCCCATGGACAGTAACAAAATGCAAAAAGAATATGACGCTGGAAGATGAGCCCCTCAGGTCGGAAGG